TTTATAAAAAAAAATTCAATAACAAAGTATAACAATGCATAATTGCGAGTAAAGTAAATGAATAAACCTATTCTTAAACTATATACGTGGAAGAGCCAAGCTGTAGCTATTTTATGGTTGTAGCATGATTGGGTTAGCTCGACCGGGGAAGGATCACGATCTCACAGAATACCGGCGTAAAATAGCGGCTTAATGCTGCTGTGTTTCTTGTGGTGAATGTAGAAAACCGAAGACCCTTTTTACTGGATACGAACCATTTCATCTTAGTACTCAGGGGTGGTAACGCATTTGCATTTTGATTCTTAATCGAGGATAGATGTAGATATCTATGGGCCACAGCATCCACTTACCATCAGGTGGGTTGTGTGCCCGTTCGCCACCCTTATTCTATTAAAAAATTGCCTATTAATCAACGTATTCTGCCAATATGCTAACAAGTTCAGTCCTAAATCCTAGTTACTAGCTTAAACTCATCCAGTGCAGTACCTTTAAATTTGCACCGATTTTTGACCAGGAGCATGTCATACAATCATCCTTATGATTCCATTATAACTCGCAAGGTCAAAACTGTATAGTGCCAGCCCAATGTTTTAATGACGTTAAGTGGTCTCATTTGAACCTCAGTAATGAGCACGGCGTGGAATGTCGGTTGCCCGTCCTTCAACCGATTAAGGGCCATCGACACGACCTCAATTATCGCGTTTTTAAACATTAAAGTGGAATTAGTTAATTACTGAAAAGAAACTTTGTGGTCTTTGAATGTTACTTGACATTTAGATTATATTATGATGTATTCGGAATGTGCGTCACGTACTTACGTAATGTTCATCACAAATGATCTTGTTGGACCACTCTACTTTGAAATAGTTATTAAAGATTCCATAGTGATATTTTTGACTACTTCAAAATTTAAAATACTTACTCTTGTATACTTGAATAAGTGCTATATGGTACCGTGTAGTGGCGGTGTAAGAATATCTTGCATATCTTGTCTTAGTTTGGACATTGCGAACGCCTTCGATCGGGTTTGGCACAAAGCGCTTCTTTCGAAGCTCCCTTCCTATGGGCTTCCGGAGAAATTGTGCAATTGGATCACCAGATTCCTTGCAGATCGGAGCATTAAGGTCGTTGTAGACGGTGCATGCTCCGACTACAAGCCTATTAACGCTGGTGTTCCACAAGGCTGTGTGCTATCACCAGCGCTGTTTCTTCTGTATATCAATGATATGTTGCAAACTGGTAACATTCATTGCTATGCGGATGACAGCACTGGTGATGCTCTTTACACCGGCTGTACCAATATTTTTCTCGGGAAAACGTCGCCGAATACCGGAACAAACTTGTGTTTGAAGTCGAGTCTTTGTTGAACAAAGTCTCGGATTGGGGGCGACTAAATCTAGTCCAGTTTAATCCTCAGAAGACACAAGTTTGCGCGTTTACCACTAAAAAGAACACCTTTGTCGTATCTCCTCAATTTCAAGGCACTCCCCTTGTTGCCTCAGCCAGTATCGGAATCCTCGACGTCAACATATCGAGTGACGTGCAGTTTCGTGGTCACTTGGAAGAGAAGGCCAAATTGGCCTCTAAAAGCTTGGTTTACTCAGCAGAGCGGGACAGTATTTCATGCAGGCACACCGCTTGCAACTTTACAAGGCGCAGGTTCGGCCTCACATGGAATACTGTTCCCATCTCTGGGCAAGGGCTCCCCAGTGCCAGCTCCTTCCACTTGACCGCATCCAGCGCAGAGCAGCTCGAATCGTCAACGATCGAGTCCTTTCCGATCGGCTCGATTCATTGGCACTGCGAAGAGATGTTACATCCTTTTGCATTTTCTTTCGCATTTACCACGGGGAGTGCTCTGAGGAATTGTTCGGATTAATCCCAGCCGCCAAATTTCACGAACGCACATCGCGGCAGAACTCCCGATACCATCCACACCATCTGGATGATTGGCGGTCCACCACTGTGCGATTTAGAAGATGTTTTCTTCCTCGCACGACTTCCTTGTGGAATCGATTACCATCAGCGATTTTTCCGGACCGATACGACTTAGGGACCTTCAAGAAAAGAGCCTACTCCTTTTTAAAAGGCCGGCAACGCATCTGCAATTCCCCTGGTGTTGCAGTTGTTCATGGGCGGCGGTAGTCACTTACCATCAGGTGAGCCGCATGCTCGTTTGCCCCCTCTCCTATAAAAAATCTACTACTCCATAGTATTATCCCGTGGGTGTAGTAAGAGACGACTGAGGAAAACAAATCAGGAGATGGACGGTAGTGTCTTCCTAATAACGACTTAAAATAAAGAACTGCGGTTGCCAACCTGCTTGTCAAGCTTGGCAGCTATGGTAAATATTCCCCCCTATGAGGCAATCTATGGGGGAGGCCTATGTGCATCAGTGGACTTTAATAGATTGTAACGGAAATGGATATACAAAATAAAAGTATGCTTGCTAACAAAATACAACCACTGGTTTTAAACTACCCACAAGGAGTGAAGTGATAGGGGTAGAGCTACGAAATAGAATGCTATATATTAAAATTAAAATCAATGTCATAGACTAAATATATGTATCTTTATTAGGATATATTTCTTATTGTCACTAGTCTCGTTTAAATACTTTTAGAATTATTATTTATTATAGTAATAACAAGTCCACTGCTGAACATAGGCCTCCCCCAAAGAATGCCACAAAGCACGGTCCTGAGCCACCTGCATCCATCGACTTCCTGCATGTCTTATCAGGTCGTCACTCCATCTCGTGGGGGGACGCCCTACACTTCGCCTACCGGTACGATACTGCCACTCGAGAACCTTTCTTCCCCATCGGTTGTCGGTTCTTTGAGCTATATGGCCGGCCCATTGCCACTTCAGCTTACTAATCCGTTGGGCTATGTCGGTTACTCTGGTTCTACTGCGGATATCCTCATTCCTAAGTTTATCACGCAGAGAAACTACGAGCATAGCCCTCTCCATAGCTCGCTGAGCGACCTTGAGCTTCCTCATCCGGCCAGCAGTGAAGGACCACGTCTCAGTTTCGTATGTCATCACTGGCAACACGCACTGGATGTACAGTCTCGTTTTCAAGGTTTGAGGTATACCTGACGAGAAGATGTGCCGTAATTTACCGAACGCTGCCCAACCGAGTTGAATCCGTCGATTGACCTCTCGGTCGAAGTTGGACTTACCTAGTCGGACTATTTGTCCCAGGTAAACATACTCGTCAACAACTTCGAGCTGGACTTGTGAAGGGCTGTAATGATGATGATGATGATGATGATGATAGTAATAACGTTGACAAATGATTTGAATTAAGTGTATGATGAGTGAGACGTGGTGATAATCGGATAGTGACAGTACTTCTAAGAAACTTATATTTACATGTAAAGACAAAGAGCGAAAAGTGGTTAATATTTTTAAGGAATCACCTACCGATAATCTTTCTCAATAACTAGTACTTTCCAGAAGATCAGAAAATATGGCACTTATCGTATTAGGACTTGATACTACAAAGTATCAAGTAAATGCAAGACTGTAATATCAAATGGAGTGGTAGCTTGACCGATATGATCACAAAGTATTTGCACTAAAAGATCTCATGAAGAATCTCATTAATCTAAAAGAAGAAATACACATTTACTTCGTTAGCAGTTGGCTTTACTGCGGGAATTGTCCAGTTCTCTTAAGTAGTAGTAGTAGTAGTAGTACTTGGCATAGTGCGCTTGGCAAGTAAATGCTGTTGAATATACAAGGGCAAACAGTTTTAGTCCGATAAACATCTACCCGGGCACACTGGGTTATTGCTAAGAGGTGGCTACAAAACCTAGTCTGACTAATAAAATAAAAAAAATAGGAAACGTAGTAGGTATGTATACTGGAAAAAATTACGTCAGTAATTATTATGTTTAAAAACGAGCCTTTTGCAAGAAAATGAAATAGTTTTTTTTAGTCTTTATTTCACTAATGCTGGAACTAATTGCGTGTAGGTACAATCCGCTTTAAAAATGCTATACATGTATTTAGACCATATTTGTTTTAACGTGGACAATTTACTCGCCCAACCATAGCTAATAACAGAGCACAGAAGACGAACACCTTTTTGTAACCGTTAACAGTGGTAGAGCCACGCGCAGCTTTCGCTGTCGCACGGATGGGCCGGCTCGATCCGGGGTGGTACCACGACCTCACAGAATACCAGCGTGAAGTAGAGGTTTACCTCTGCGTTTCGCTTGGTGAGTGCAGGTGGCCGGAGGCCCTTTTTACTGGAAATGAGGCATTCCATCTTAGTCCTCACGGGTGACAACGCATCTGCATTTTGATTCGCAAGCGAGGATAGATGTAGATGTCTATGGGCCGCAGCAACCACTTACCATCAGGTGGACTGTGTGCTCGTTTGTCACCCTTATCTTATAAAAAAAAAAAAAAAAACCTTTTTGGTATCTTAAATTTTACATTTTATCGAAACTTTCAATAAAGGCTAACGGCAGCTGTGTGAACAATTAAGTTATTTTTATTTAACAAGAACACATTTCATCGATGTTAAATGGTCAGTCTGCAAGCAATAAAGCTATATAATGCATTCTCAACCAGAGGACTGCGATGAAATACCTCATAACCAATAATTTATTTTATAGTAGTTTGGTTATACGAGGAAATATTGCGTGCGTTTTAAAGGCAAATATTTAATGAAAGCGTGATTTTTATATTCCTGATTCTTTAGTAATAATATTTGGTGTATACCTAAGCATACGATAAGGCCGATATTCAGAGACAATCTCCTAATTAATAATATCAAAGTTCACAAGAAAACATTATCACTCTCTACCGAAAGGTCTCGAACATAACATTATGTTACACAAGTTTTGACATTGTGAAGTTTGAATTTAAACTCAAGAGTGTTTTTCAAACTGAGTACCGGCCTTAGAGTAAAAATGTTATTGACATTTCGTTTCGTATTGCGCGTTAAATTCTACGAGTATAAACTATATGTGCAAAAAAAAAAAAACAATACAAAATGCGTTTATTAAATTATGTAATAAATTTAAATTGTTAACCTTGAACTAAGTCGTTTGGCACATGAAAATTCATCACTCGTATCGTACCGTGTAGTGCCGTTAACGAATATCACTACTCTTAGGTGTTGTAAGAGCCGACAGCTGAGAACAAATCAAGAAATGGGCATCAGTGTCAAAGTTCCTAATAACAACCAAAAAAAAAATATAATAAAAATAAATAGGCTGTTACTTTACTTAACATGTACATATTGTAGGTAATTCATTCCCCTCAACTACCACTATTACATATTATACATATATGTCTAATAATAGGTCGGGGAAAAAGTTTCTTCGTATATAATATATATATTGTTTGTATAAAATTGAAGAAAAATCTCTTGGGTTGTACTGTTTGTATCTAGCTGGTTTTAATATCAATGCACATAGGACATTAAAAAAACAAAAATAAAAAAAAAACACTTTCCCGCCATTTTCCTATTGCTCTTTTCTCCGCCAAAATGAGTGAGTGTAATAGGGGCTACACAAGAACACTTTTAACTGTCAGTTTTGACAAACAATTGTAACTGACAGTGAAAACTGACGTCCTTTGTACCCACACACGTTCACTTTTAACTGTTCTCTTTGACTACAAACAACATTACCATCTCAAGATGTCATCAGCCGACGACGATGCTTTAGCCGTGCTTGGTTTATTATTAATTTTAATAAATAAAAATACAAATATATACGCAAAGAGTGGTGTAAAGAGTGGTTTTAAAAAAGGAAAATTTATTCCCATGTTAATTTATTAACCGAATTAAAATTTGTTTCGAAGGATTGGCACAACTATCTCAGAATGAGTGAAGAAATATACCTCAATCTACTCTCTCTAGTGTCTCCACTGATTAGACGAAAGGATACAGTAATGAGAAATGCTATTTCGCCACATGAGAGATTAACAGCAACGTTACGATTTCTAGCAACAGGACGGAGATATGAAGATTTAAAGTTTTTCACAATTATTTCACCTCAAGCCCTCAGCAGCATAATACCAGACACATTTTTTAGACACAGGCTTTATTCAAAGTACTTTGCCCAGATTTTTTAAAGGTAAGAAAACTTAGAACATTTAACAATTGCTTTTATTATTTGTTATTAAGAAAATTATCAAGAGATGACTAAAAAATTACGGTTTAGAGGCCTACGATTCATTTTGCATGTACTGAGATAATGAAGCCGCAGTGTTTACTTCTTGTAAAGGTATAGACATTTCAGGGATTGAAATTTGTACTGCTCCTGTATTGTTATCTAAAAGGTATGGCTGAAGTATGCTCTGTGATTCTGCAGTGTTTGAATCTATTTGTATTGGTGCTCGATCCGATATTTTGTGGTCAATTTATCCAGTTCAGCTAAGAATAGAGCTTTGTTTATAATACCTTCGGCTAAAATGCGCTGTTCTTTAGGAAGATCACGCAACTTCATTGCCACGTTTTTCCCAAAAATATCGAAACGATCATCTCGCTGTACGGGACGTTTAAAATGATCCTGTACAGTTAATAAAACGTCATTGGTTAAAGTTTGATTGAGATTCCTTTTTGTCGGTCTTGGATGGTGAGGTGGTGCCGACGATGATGCTGAATTTCCTGTGTCAGATTCAGATTGGTTTGAAGCCAGAAATGAACCTGGTCTAGAGTCTAGGTCTTCATTCTGTAACAATAATACATACACAATTAATAATATAATAATATATATGTTTTATTTTCAGTTTCCCAATACGGAACAAGATTGGAAAAATATTGCTGAAAAGTTTGAGAAGAGATGGAACTTTCCACATTGCTTATGAGCAATAGATGAATAGCATGTTTCAATTGCTTTACCCCCTGGATGTGGATCAGAATTTAATAATTATAAAAACCGACATAGCATGGTTTTAATGGCTATTGTGGATGCTCAATACAAGTTCATTTTGTGTGATTTTGGCACAAATGGAAGAATTTCAGATGGTGGAGTATTACGAAACACTGTATTTTTCGAAAAACTTCAAGACAGTAAATTAAACATCCCAGCCGGCGAACTAGTCAAAAATAGCAACAGAAGTTTACCTTACGTATTTGTTGCTGATGATGCGTTTCCATTGAGAACAGACATGATTTAGACAAGCAGATCTTAATACTTATTAGAAAAAAATATACAATTATCGAGTATCAAGAGCAAGGAGAATTGTTAAGAACGCTATTGGGATTTTAGCGTCTCGGTTCCGAATATTTCACACTGAAATAAACATCGAACCAAAAAATATTGATTCCGTTGTAATGGCATGTTGTGCTCTACACAATTACTTAACTGAAACAAACCAAGCCAGTTACAGTCCTCCTGAAATTCTTGATAGGGAATTTTTTGATAACGGAACAATTATACAGGGAGTGACTTCGGCAGATTCGGACATGACAGATTTAGATAGAAGACACCAAGGAAATATAACAAATGCAGCCAAGATAACAAGGGAAGATTTTATGAACTATTTAGTGAATGAAGGACAAGTTCCATTGCAGGATAATTTTATTCGTTAATGTTTTTATTATAGTCTAATATCAATAAACTAAATTATAAAATAAACAATAATAGTATTTATTTACTCACGTCATTCGTTTCTTCGTCATCCGTGGAAATATTTGATCTTGAGGATCGTGGTACTTCTTTGTCGGTGAGAAATTGTAGCAAATCGTAATACCATAACTTTGGTTTATAAATATCATCCTTACCAGATCCTGATCTTTGTGACGATTTGACTTTCAAAACTTCTCTTTTGAACGTGCAACGCAGTGTGTTAATTTCGCTTTTCACTGTATCTATAGTTGCCGTAGAGTCAATTTCTTTAATTTTTTCTAATAATACCTTGTAAGCTGCTGATTTCCTTTCTCGGTCATGGTACTCCTTACTTTTATTCTGCCATAAGCAAGGTTCATTTCTATATGATTCTATAAACTTGGCCAACCACAGTGTTTGCGTCATTTTTCTGCGTATGCGAAGAGGACAAACATGTACAGACCAGTTTCTTTTTCGTGATCGCAACACGACTGAAGAAACACCGCCAGCACAGTTCCGTCATTTCAGTTAAAAAATATGTATCAACAATATGTCATCAGTTTTAACTGATAATAAAAAAAACTGACAGTTTTCATCGCACACACACTCAGTTTTCACTGTCAGTTAAAATTGGTTTGTCAAAACTGACAGTTAAAAGTGATCGTGTGTAGCCTCTATAACGAAGAAATACGATACATTTGGAAGTTTTATTACAAAAAAGTGAAAAATACGACTCAAGCCACGAAAAAAAATTCGCAAGGGAATCAAAACCTACAGGGTACTTACCGTGAACTCAGAATCTTAAAATTTGGTACGAAGCAACGTATTATAGCACATATAAAGGAAAAAGTGCAAAAAGCATAAATTTTTAGTTACATCATATAATAAAAATATTTTTAATAATTTTAAACTTTTATAACTACGGATTTGTTCGGGACCCTCGGTGCGCGAGTCCGACTCGCACTTGACCGGTTTTTATTTATTTAAGCTTTCACCGCCGGACAAAACCGTCAAACTCGGATCTCTACTACCAACAACTAATGAGACTCAAGCAAGAAATTGAGAAAAAATATTTATTATTTTAATTTATTATCACGAACATGTATTATTATTTATAATGTAAGTGCATCGTGTACGGGTATATTAAAATATTATAAAATATGATATTGTATGTAAGGTGTGTGTGTGTGTGTGTGTGTGTGTATGTGTGATTTTTTTTATATTTTAAAAAACTTTACCCCCACACTAGGATTTTCTCCTGTATCGTGGACGCAATTTACAAACACGAATTGCACAAGGACAAACATCCAAACCCGGAAGAATTATTTGCAGGCCATACAAATACTTATTCCGTGCGGGATTCCAACCCGCGGCTCCCAGCGCAGCAGCTCATTGCTAAGCCACTGCGTCACGGAGCCGTCTATATTTGTACCTCATTGTTTTTTATTTATTTAGGTAGGTACACCACCGTCTGCTTGAGTTTTAAGTTTCTACCCATCCAAAGGTAGTCTGGAAGAGATCGCTTTTAGCGATAAGGCCGCCATTGTACAACTTGTTAATAAGCATAATAAATCCTTTTTATTTTTATTTTTTTATTTATGGTGTATACTACAGTTACATTTATAATAATAATTATTAAGACTGCTGTCTATCCCCTGTTTCAGTTTTCCTCTGTCGCCTCTTACGACACGCGCGTGATAATATTAGTTAGTGGATTCTCCGACGCTGCTATTACACAACGGTACTGACATAACTTAAGCCATTGAAAAGCTTAAATAGACCAGCTATATATAATCTCAAAATTGTAAACAAGCGGCAATGAGTTTGTATTTAATGAGCTGACGCATGTTTTGGAATTCCCCAAAGGAATAAGCAATAAGGAAAATTAAATTAGGATATAGCTCTATGAAACTCTATTAGATTTTAAAGAAAGATTAGTCCTATCAGAGTGAAATGCGAATGTCATATTGTGGTTAAAGATATTCAGAAATTGTGTCTTTTTTTATAAAATAAGGATGACAATCGAGCACTCAGTTCACCTGATAGTAAGTGAATGCTGTGGAATCAGCAGATAGTCTGTGTGTGGCATGTCATCTATATTCGATTAAAAATGAAAATGCAAATCCCTGAGGACTAAGATGAAATGACTCGTTGCTAGTAAAAAGTGTTCTATACACTCATCCATACGAACACAGCAGCATGTTGTTTGTTTCACGTTGATATTCAGGGAGAGCGTGGTCCTTCCCTGTGCTACCACATATAAAAGATGTACGTACGACGTAGTGTAGAAATTTTATTGTTTTATTTGAAAATTTATGCAATCGTTTCACAACTAACCTATCTAAAGACCTCAGAATATTTTGTATTCTGATCTACAGACATATATGCTGCAGTCTAAGTCTAAGGAATGTATTTTTACGAAGGACCCGACATCGTTTCTATCTGGAAAACTAACGTGGGTTATCGTTAAAAGATTATAGTGATAGTTACAAAGACAATTGTCATGTAAAAACTATATAAATATATGTGTGGGAAGTTGTTAAAAATAAAGGTTCCCACCGTAGCTGGTTAAGCACTGACTAAAAAACCTGTACATTGTTTTGTTGACTGGAACAGTCGCAGTTGCGAAGTACAATGGGAAAATTCACATGGCCATAAACGCGTTATGTGAAGCAGTTTGGAGTCAGCCATACGGTATGTATATACTAATAAGTATCAATAATGAATGTTAAGGATTGTATTTACATAGATATAGACAAAATTAGAGATGTCTCTTGTGCGATTGCGGCATGAAAGAATTCATAACAATGTGTCCTCTCGTAAATGGCGTATGTGAGTAGAATCCGGTAACGTCTAACGCCAGGAAACTAATTTGGTTACTGACAAATGGTTTTCGATACGTGGATAGTTTGTAAAAGGCGAGTATGGGAAGTGCCAGGCTAATTTTATGACTTCTGACAGATGGCGGTATTACCATCTCATTTACACCAGGCATAAATACCCAAACGAAAGGTGCGAGACGTCTGGTACGCGATCAGCCTACAAAGGAAGAGGCACATGTCCAGATATCGATAGCATATATAGATGTACTATCCTAAACTTTTAAAAGTACACTGATGGACAATATTTTTACGAAAGCGCCAGCTGGTCAAACATCATTTGGAGGACTTGCCCATTCACACCTGTAAGCTCATTCTGCGTAAATCGAACTAAAAATTAATATTAAAAAACTGAAGGTAGCCGGGCTAACTGTGACATCAGGACTCCAAACACCTCAGTACCCCGTGACCACAGGTGCTGGAAAGCACCCGAAACGTCGGGAATATAAAATAAGTTAATATACGCGATAAAATCCGTAAAATTAGTTTTATTTAAATGTGTAGTGTTCGAGTAAATATGAGAAATCATTACTATAGATTATACTCTAATTGCTTATGAGGGTAGGTGAAATTTCACGTATTTATATTACCGTTAAATGTTGTAAAAATTGTTCAATATTGGTTGATACATTCATGTTTCTGGGTATAAAACAAGTTCGTTTTATTTCATGATCATCATCATTTCACCGCACCACAAGTACACTACTGAACATAGGTCCTGAGCTTCCGGCATCCATCGGCTTCCTCTTACCAGATCGTCATTCCATCTCGTGGGGGCCGCCCTACACTTCGCTTACATCTAAGAGGCTGCCACTGGAAAACCTTTCTTTTCCGTCATTTGTTGGTCTTCCCCTATAGAATCAGTGTAATCGACATACCCAAACGGAGTAAGAGCTGAGCTAAAGTAGCAATGTGCCGGCCATATAGCTCATCTTATTTAAGTACTGTTAATTTTATTTTGGTAGATTTGTCCGCGGTTAGCGCGTGGTAGAATGGTCGCAGCGCGACGCAATCGTTCAAAACGTTCCCGTGAGAACGCGCTTGGAGCCCTGCGCCCGCGCACCACCGCGCTCCGACCGAACCGCCGCGCCGGCCTCACAAAGGTTAAATACCGACCGAATATTGCCAAATTCAATGCTCACATGTACTGTAACTTTAATACAATGTACGCCAAGATCTATAAGGTTTTCTTTATGTTTCATTCTTAATATTGAAGATTCCTACGCATTTTTTTATAGAATAAAGATGATTAACGGGCACACAGTACACTTGATGGAAAGTGAATGTTGTAGCCCGTAGAAATCTCCATCAATTCTCAATTAAGTATCAAAATGCAAATGCCTTATAACCCCTGAGGACTGAGATGGAATGCTTCGATTCCAGTAAAAAGGGTTTCCGGTTCTCTACACTCACCATACGAAACACAGCAGCATTAAGCTGCTATTTCACGCAGGTATACTGTGAGAGCGTGGTCCCTACTCGGTCGAGCCGACACATTCGTGCTACATCTACAACCATAGTATAGCTGCAGCATGGCTCCACAACGCAATAAGCAATGTAATTTCGGAGTAATATTAATTTTCTTTTCTTGCCCTAAAACCGTTTCTAAAGGCTGTATCATTTAGAAACTTCGATAGCGTGATATAGGCTCTTCTTCAGTGGTTGGTACAGTTTTTTACGCTATAGCGGCGCGATGACAGCGCTGCAACACTTTAAAGTCGAGTAAATGCCACTTGTGGCACTAAGCGATATAATAAAAATAAGTTCAAATTTTGAAAATGGAACTCCTTGCCAATATTATTGTGTATATAGTTTATTAATTTGTCATTTGTTTACAATTTGGCGGCAAATTGAAAATTGTGTGTCACGTCAGCATGAATTTAACGCGAGAAAATTTTCGTACAATGATTTTTCTATGACATTTAAGTCAACAAGAAAGTTATGATAGACTTTCACGGTGAATCCCCATCTCGTGCCACTGTTTACAACTGGTTTAATGAGTTTATACGTGGTCACACTAATCTCACCGATGATCTGCGTGTGGGACGGCCTTCTACGGCGACGACTGAAGATAAAATCCGTGTTGTGCGGCGTATGATGGAGACTGACAAAAGAGTGACTTATCAGCAGATTCGGACAAGCTTAGGCATCGGTTTGAGTCAAGTGCACAAAATCCTCCATGTACATTTAGCGGTCAGCAAGCTTTGTGCCTAGTGGATATCTCATAATTTGACAGAGGCCCAAAAACTCCGTCGTGTTGATTGGCGACGTGAAATGATTCAAAGATTTAACGGAGGTGGCTCAAATACTGTGTTCGACATACACTTATGGGTGATGAAAGCTGGATTTATTGTTATGATCCTGAAACTAAGAAACAGTCTGCTGACTGGGTGTTTCCTTCCGAGTTGCCAACAAAAGTAAAGAGAGGTCGAAGCGTGGGAAAAAAGATGGTGGCATCGTTCTTCGAAAGGACAGATCATTACGCAACAACTGTTTTAGAGGATCGAAAAACAGTTACTGCAGAATGGTACACTAACAATTGTTTGCCACTTGTCTTGGAAAAAGTTCGGGAGAAACGACCTCGCAGTAGGATCCTCCTTTACCACGACAACGCCTCGTTGCACACCGCCAAGCAAACATTCGACTACTTGGCGACGTCAGACTTGGAATTACTGGGTTAACCGTCCTATAGCCCCGACCTCGCACCTTGCGATTTTTAATAAAAGAAAAACTTCGAGGAAAACGTTTTATGGACGCCGAGAAAGCAGTGGCTGCGTTGAAACGCAGTCACTGTTTCCTCTCGTCTCTCCTTCTCTTTTTCTCGGCCTGCCACTAAGGACGAGTGGGCAAAATGCTTTTCTCAGTGTTTCCATCGGATGCAACGATGTATTGATGTAAATGGACACTATTTTGAAAATATATAATAAAACTAATAACTTGCTAGTTTGTTCAGTTTTTGATTTTCTAAGAACTTTCAGTGTGCAACAATTTTGGTAATTCGGAAGCTATCAGTGTAGTCAACAATCTTCCAAATAAATATTATCACTAGTATGTGCTCAGTAAAGAATTTTTATTATTCAACCGATATTTATAGTTAATCCGATGGTGAGTGGCTACTGCAGTCCATGGACAGCTGAAGCCAACTTTCAACAAAATAGGCTATGGTTGAGTTGTTACCGTTGTAATTATGTAATTATACTGGCTCCCTATACTCTTCAGACTGAAACAGAGCAATACAAGCACTGTTATTTGGCGGCAGAAATAAGATAAAGTGCGGTACCTACTCAGACAAACTCCCAGGCAGAAAAGTTGTACGTGGTAGAGCCATGCTGCAGCTATATTAATAGTATAGTTGTAGCACGAATGGGTCGGCTCGACCGGAAAGGACCACGCTCTCACAGAATACCAGCGTAAAATGACAGCTTGACACTGCTGTGTTTCGTATGGTGAGTGTAGAGAATCGGAGACCCTTTTTACTGGAAAAGAGGCATTCCATCTTAGTCCTTACGGGTGACGACGCATCTGCATTTGATTCTTTATTGAGGATAAATGTAGATGTCTATGGGTCACAGCAACCACTTACCATCATGTGGCCTGTGTGCTCGTTTGTCACCCTATCCTATTAAAAAAAACCACCGACATAGAGAGTATACAAGTAACCGTTTTATAGACTTGAGATTAAAATTAGTGAGAGGTGACAACCTCTTAGGTGTTAACCTTCACTTTTATCTAAACGTTATTTTTCATGAAATCACCTTCTATGCCGCCATTTTAAGATTTATATTTATAATATTAAATATATGGAGAGCTTTATATCGGATGATATGAATTCGCCCCCTGGTGCAGTGTTTGGTTTCAGGGCAAGTGCATGTCCTACCCACGGGG